TAGACTACAATAGTGACACTGTAACTGTACTAGACTACAACAGTGACACTGTAACTGTACTAGACTACAATAGTGACACTGTAACTGTACTAGACTACAATAGTGACACTGTAACTGTACTAGACTACAATAGTGACACTGTAACTGTACTAGACTACAATAGTGACACTGTAACTGTACTAGACTACAATAGTGACACTGTAACTGTGCTAGACTGCAATAGTGACACTGTAACTGTACTAGACTACAATAGTGACACTGTAACTGTACTAGACTACAATAGTGACACTGTAACTGTACTAGACTACAATAGTGACACTGTAACTGTACTAGACTACAATAGTGACACTGTAACTGTACTAGACTACAATAGAGACACTGTAACTGTACTAGACTACAATAGTGACGCTGTAACTGTACTAGACTACAACAGTGACACTGTAACTGTACTAGACTACAATAGTGACACTGTAACTGTACTAGACTACAATAGTGCCACTGTAACTGTACTAGACTACAATAGTGACACTGTAACTGTACCCTGACTACAATAGTGACACTGTAACTGTACTAGACTGCAATAGTGACGCTGTAACTGTACTAGACTACAATAGTGACACTGTAACTGTACTAGACTACAATTGCGACACTGTAACTGTACTAGACTACAATAGAGACACTGTAACTGTACTAGACTACAATAGTGACGCTGTAACTGTACTAGACTACAACAGTGACACTGTAACTGTACTAGACTACAATAGTGCCACTGTAACTGTACTAGACTACAATTGTGACACTGTAACTGTACCAGACTACAATAGTGACACTGTAACTGTACTAGACTACAATAGTGACACTGTAACTGTACTAGACTACAATAGTGACACTGTAACTGTACTAGACTACAATAGTGACACTGTAACTGTGCTAGACTACAATAGCGACACTGTAACTGTACTAGACTACAATAGTGACACTGTAACTGTACTAGACTACAATGGTGTCACTGTAACTGTGCTAGACTACAATAGTGACACTGTAACTGTACTAGACTACAATAGTGACACTGTAACTGTGCTAGACTACAATAGTGACACTGTAACTGTACTAGACTACAATAGTGACACTGTAACTGTACTAGACTACAATAGTGACACTGTAACGGTGCTATACTACAATGGTGTCACTGCCACTGTACTAGACTACAATAGTGACACTGTAACTGTACTAGACTACAATAGTGACACTGTAACTGTACTAGACTACAATAGTGACACTGTAACTGTACTAGACTACAATAGTGACACTGTAACTGTGCTAGACCACAATAGTGACACTGTAACTGTACTAGACTACAATAGTGACACTGTAACTGTACTAGACTACAATAGTGACACTGTAACTTTGCTAGACTACAATAGTGACACTGTAACTGTACTAGACTACAATAGTGACACTGTAACTGTACTAGACTACAATAGTGACACTGTAACTGTACTAGACTACAATAGTGACACTGTAACTGTACTAGACTACAATAGTGACACTGTAACTGTACTAGACTACAAAAGCGACACTGTAACTGTACTAGACTACAATAGTGACACTGTAACTGTGCTAGACTACAATAGTGACACTGTAACTGTACTAGACTACAATAGTGACACTGTAACTGTACTAGACTACAATAGTGCCACTGTAACTGTACTAGACTACAATAGTGCCACTGTAACTGTACTAGACTACAATAGTGACACTAACTGTACTAGACTACGATAGTGACACTGTAACTGTACTAGACTACAATAGTGACATTAACTGTGCTAGACTACAATAGTGACACTGTAACTGTACTAGACTACAATAGTGACACTGTAACTGTACTAGACTACAATAGTGACACTGTAACTGTACCAGGCTACAATAGTGACACTGTAACTGTACCAGACTACAATAGCGGCACTGTAATAACTGCGCTGGGTTACAGTAGTCTCAGTGACGAATAACTTGACTGTAATCGGGGTGAAAAGTGACTCCGGTACAGTGATTATAACCCATACGATATATTCGTCTGGGTCTGTGAAGGGCAGGACTAAAATAACTGTACCGTTCTGCGCGACTCCCAACAGTGGCGTGTGTTGGAGTCAAAGAAACTGGGCTACGTACGGTTTCCCCAAAGATGTTCCACATGCAGTAACATACTTGACACTGAGCATGGCTGCAATGAGGGGGTGAGCACACTACATTGGCACTAAAATAACAGATCCATTGACGTCGTCTCGCAAGGCTTTGTAACAGCGAGACTCTCCCCAAGAACGCGCAACGAATACGCCTGCAACTACAATGACCGCACGGACCCGGTTCAAGTACTCATTGACTTGACTCTCCAGCATGATCGTGACAATGCAGCAGAGACTGAGGAATAATAGCGAGGCCGGGCCAGGCTATGGGGGAGGGAGGGGGGTGTTAGGGGAGTCGAGTTGCCAGAGCAAAGGAGACTGGGTGGGATGAGTTAGGGGGCGGCGAACGACGAAGCAACGAAGATGTTCCCTTAATGAGAGCGAGATGAACGACGCAATATCGGACCGAGTCTGGTTGGTGGCGAGTGGGCAAGAGATGATCGTGTGTGTGTGTGAGAGAGACAGAGACAGGGGACACGTGGGCACAGTGCAGGATGGATGGGGAGGCGAGAGAGGCAAGAGATGATCGTGTGTGTGTGTGAGAGAGACAGGGGGCACGTGGGCACAGTGCAGGATGGATGGGGAGGCGAGAGAGGGAAGAGATGATCGTGTGTGACAGGGAGAGACAGGGGACATGTGGGCACAGTGCAGGATGGATGGGGAGGCGAGAGAGGGAAGAGATGATCGTGTGTGTGTGAGAGAGACAGAGACAGGGGGCACGTGGGCACAGTGCAGGATGGATGGGGAGGCGAGAGAGGGAAGAGATGATCGTGTGTGACAGGGAGAGACAGGGGACACGTGGGCACAGTGCAGGATGGATGGGGAGGCGAGAGAGGCAAGAGATGATCGTGTGTGTGTGTGTGACAGGGAGAGAGAGACAGGGGACACGTGGGCACAGTGCAGGATGGATGGGGAGGCGAGAGAGGGAAGAGATGGGGACGGTGAATGAATGAATGAACGTACGTGGTCTAGCAGAGGGAGGTAAGGAGCTGTGGGAGTGAAGCTAATGGTGAGAAACGGGGGGATAGTGGAGGACAGTAGCACTGTGCGTGTTTGTGTGAGAGGTTACAGAGCAAGACAAAGTGTGTGGTGGTGGTGGGGCAGGATAACCAGGGTGTGAATGTGAGAGGCAGCAGGTATGTGGAGAAGATGGTGCCAGTGTGTTTAGGAGGGAGAAGGCCTGGCAGAAGATGGTGTGTGTGTGTGCGTGAGAGAGAGAGAGCATGAGACGGGATTAGGAGTCTTTTGAGAGGAGTATGTACACTGTATATTTATGGGATGAGGCTGTGGTGGTGGTGGGGGGGAGCGTGTGAGAGGGAGACTACGACAGAGAGCAGACGTGCAGTGTGTTTATGTGTGTGGGGGAGGAGGGAGAAGACAGTACTGTAGCACAGCAGGAGCGTGCACTGCATTTGTTAAGGAGGGCAACACAGAGCAGGCGCGTGTGTACATGGAAACAGCAACAAAGACCAAGAGTGTGTGTGTGTAGAGAGAGGTGGCCAACAGAGAGTGTGTATGTGTGATAAAGGGAGTGGGTGAGAAGATGGAGTGCAGGAGAGTGTTTGGAGAGGGATGAGAGCGCAAGATGATGTGTGAACGAAGAGCGAGTGCAGGGATTGTGTGTATGTGAGGGATTGTGTGTATGTGAGGGATTGTGTGTGTGAGAGGGATTGTGTGTATGAGAGGGATTGTGTGTATGTGAGGGATTGTGTGTGTGTGTGTGATTGTGTGTATGAGAGGGATTGTGTGTGTGTGATTGTGTGTATGAGAGGGATTGTGTGAGAGGGATTGTGTATGAGAGGGATTGTGTGTATGAGAGGGATTGTGTGTATGAGAGGGATTGTGTGTGTATGTGAGGGATTGTGTGTGTGAGTGATTGTGTGTATGAGAGGGATTGTGTGTATGTGAGGGATTATGTATGTGTGAGTGATTGTGTGTATGTTAGGGATTGTGTGTATGAGAGGGATTGTGTGAGAGGGATTGTGTGTATGAGAGGGATTGTGTGTATGTGAGGGATTGTGTGTATGTGAGGGATTGTGTGAGAGGGATTGTGTGTATGTGAGGGATTGTGTGTATGTGAGGGATTGTGTGTATGAGAGGGATTGTGTGTATGAGAGGGATTGTGTGTGTGAGAGGGATTGTGTGAGAGGGATTGTGTGTATGTGAGGGATTGTGTGTATGAGGGAGGGATTGTGTGTATGAGAGGGATGAGAGGGAGGGATTGTGTGTGTGAGAGGGATTGTGTGTATGAGAGGGATTGTGTGTTTGGCAGGGAGGGATTGTGTGTGTATGAGAGGGAGTGATTGTGTGTATGAGAGGGATTGTGTGTATGAGGGAGGGATTGTGTATGAGAGGGAGTGATTGTGTGTATGAGAGGGATTGTGTGTGTATGAGAGGGATTGTGTATATGAGAGGGAGTGATTGTGTGTGTATGAGAGGGATTGTGTGTGTATGAGAGGGATTGTGTATATGAGAGGGAGTGATTGTGTGTGTATGAGAGGGAGTGCAAGCGAGTGCGCATGTACGAGGGAGGAGGGACGCAGAAACGGAGAGCACGACCACACATAAAGGAGGGGAGAGAGGCGTCTTCTGTACGTGCATGTATATATGTGTGTGTGGGGAGGAGGAGGAGGGAGAGCGCGCAACAAAGAGCAGGAGTGTGTGAGTGAGAGGGAGGGAGTGAGGGCGAGACGGAGGGAGGGAGGGAGGCGAGGGGGTTGGGTGGTGGGGGGGAGGAGGAGGGGAGGAGGAGGAGGGGGATCGCGCTGGCTGGCGGGCGGGCGGGAGCGAGAGGGAGAGCCTTGAGTGGCAGCTTACCTCCGTGCCAATCTTCATCAGTCTGACAGCCCAAGCGGCGCTCGCCCGCACTGGCCGTGCGGCCCCGCCCCCCGCCCGGGCCACGCCCCCATAACCCCGGGATTCGCTTCCTCGACTCCGCCCCCATCGTTCACGCACCCCCCCACCACCGCTATAGGCCCCACCCCCGAGATGGTGAGGCCACGGTGGGCATGTTGCTATGGCACAAAATGAAACGCGTTTTTTTTAGATTACTATAAACAATCACATTCTGTAATAATAAGGGTTTTTTTTTTACCATTTTTTCTGGCAACAAAACTGAAACCTTTTTTTTACGAGGATTCATGTTACTGCATTAACCACAATACCTGCGGTCAAAATGCAAACAAAAAAACATACTATGATAATATATGGATTGTCCTTGAAACTGATTGGTCCACACCAAGGGACGGCTTTCTTTTGAGCCTCGACCCAATTGGTGCTCGACCAGATGACGCCAGAAGGCGTACAGCTGGTTACATTCTGAGCAGATGTGTGGTGGTGCTGCGTTGGCGGTGGTGCATAGACGCAACAACGCGTACATATTAACTGGCAATAAAAGGAAAAGCAGGGCCATAGGCGACAATGCATGTGCTTTTGACTTGTTTTTGGGCTAGGTCACGTAGTCGGTTTTTTTTCCATGGTAAAAATTATTCACATTGATCCGACACCAAGATTGTCCCGTGCCCAATATATTGATACAATTTGCACTTAAAAAGCTAATTGGTAGCTTAAGAATGTATTATCGGGTTGGTGTGTTGACAATGTTGTCATAAAAACCTACTACGTGGCCTAACGCATTACAAATATGCGATATTGGCTACTAAAATCCACGTTTTAAAGGCATGTTGCCAATTTTTTAAAATGTTTTACTCCAGCCGAGCGGAAGCTTACCAGCCCAATATCAAACTTGTTTAAGCAAGCAAACTCTGGTCCCGACATTCTAGGACTCATCAGCAAGTCAGGCGTGTTCAACGTGCTGCTGGATTGGCAAGAGAAGCTACCAATGGGTCCATCGCCAGTGTGCGTGGGGCCATCGTGGAGAAGGGCTGACGCCATCGTGAAGGGCCTCCACTGAAGGCCCTTTCGCCAGCAGTGTGCTCGTGAGCAACGGAATTGCAAGAGATGCACCTTTTACCCAGGGCCACTCTTGCACGTAATACCCTCTTTACAGTTTCACCTGGTTAAACAACAACTTAAACCTCATAGGCAGCGTGCATGTGACAGGTCCGTGACAATAAACCCCGAATAGGGCCTCCTCATTCAGTCGCATCGGCGACGCTCGACCGCTTCCCTCCCTATGCAGCATGGCGCCCCCAGCCCACGCGGCCGTGTCACGTGACACGCGCCCCCGTCCCTTCCCCGTCTTCGTTCCCGATCGCTTACTCATGAATATTCAGTAGCAAGCCCCCCCCCCCCCGTCTATTGGGCGGTCGGCGCATGATTAATTAATCGGAAACATGAATATGCGGCTAATGCCCGCGTCGTTCCCTCGCGAATAATTAATTTAGTCAGAGTGGTGGAGTGGGGGGGGGCGTAAACACGCATGATGTGACGTCACCCGAAATGTAAAATAACGAGCGCGCGAGGTAACCACGCCCCTTGATTCATATTCATGAGACACCGCCCAGATTTATAATACCCACCCCCTTAATTAAACCCCGCCCATGCCGTTTCGGGGGCGGGGTCGAATTTTTATTGTGATGGGCTCTGGTTGGCTGGGCTCTAAGACGTCACTTTTGCAGGCGTGGCCTACAAGTAATAAAACTGGAGGCAGTCGACGGTGGCACTACCAATTTTAATTCAGTCAAGGTCTGCTTTGTGCTCTTCTTCCTTCGTTAAAGGAGCGCAGACTACAGAGGTTTTACTCATATGGTCCATGGTTTGGGTTACATGGCCACAATCTCATTACTGTACTCTGGCTTGTCTTTCATTTTCCATTTATGAAGATGTGCGCATCGGCCTGTTGATATTGAGATGCGGTTCATGGTTACATAATCAGTCTCTTCGAGGACTTGTCAAAGCCTGCCTGGTTTCGCGAAACTCGTTATAGGTTCTCTCTGGGTTAGGTCACATAATTGTGACCTCTGGATTCAGACTAATTCATTTGTACCAGTATGGTCGAACAGAATCTGTCAGATTTGCTGTTCCTCCTTTCCATGTGGTGTCCAGGGTAATATATCTATGAAAAAAGAGCTGTATAGCTCATCGGATTCCTCCAGTATAAATAAATATTCTGATTCTGGTACTATTCATTTATACTCTTTGGTTCTTTCGGTCAAGTCACGTAGGTATAAAACAAATAAAATCACGACGTTTCGGCCGCAATACAAGTGCCCGTCATCAGGTGGAAACAAGCACAGCAATAAACAATAGCTGAATCTAGATGACTATTTATTTCTAAATATACCTTTGTTCCGAGTATATTTTTGAATCAATGAAGACAGTTCAGTTTTGCTGGACCAGTAGAGTTTCAGTTTATTTTGGTATAGCCCTGTGAGCCATTCGGCTCTTGAATCGGGTGCAACAACAAAAAAAACACGAACAAGAAAACATCTTAAAGTGACTATGTGACTGTCCAAACAGAAAATCCATGAAAAAAACAGCAAAATATTCCTGAAAAAAGCACCGTACACCAACGCTATGTGCAAAAAAATACCAGTGGGATGCAAGTCAAACAACAACCACAAGAAAACTTAGATTAAGGCCATCAGTCTAACTCCGTACTACAACAAAACAAACATATCCAAACCAAAAAATGTTTTCGAAATAAAAAAATAAAGCCATAATTGCAACATAACAGTAATCATAGGGACTGTGACCGAATTTTTACAATAAACTACATAAATAACATGTAACACCAAATCCTAGAGCCATAGCTGGCTGCATGAGTTACTCCACAACAACAGAAGCATCAGTCGGAGTATCAAATGTTTCAATGCACCTTTAAGATCAGCACGCTAAATCAAAATACAGATAATACTTTGCAGCGTCATCCGGAGCAAAACATTTTAATTTACGCCAATGAATAGCAGCTGCAGCTCGGGGTACATATTCTCGAAATCCTCATCTCATGTATCATTCTGTATTGGCAACTGTGCGAATATAATGCCGAATGAAGGCAAGTCCTTTTCACATTAAAAAATACAGAACACCACCCGTATTGCTACTTTATTTTTAAAGTAGCAGCCAGCTACTTTTTCAGCGCTCGCATCGAGAACAATGAAGTTTCATTTCGATTTAAAGCTTTCGTGACTGCAAGGATTCATCTTCTTTGGTTCTTTCGGTAAAGTCACCACGTAGAATGAGAATAAATTAATAAATTGATAAAATAAAATAACACAATAATATTCTCACGACGTTTCGGCCGCAACGCTTGTGTTATTTTATTTTATCAATTTATTATTTTATTCTCATTCTACGTGACTTTACCGAAAGAACCAAAGAAAATGAAGTTTCACTTGCTGTAACTTGCTCACTGGTGCCGCCCGATGGTTTAGCCGAAACGTTACAGCAACCATCTGGCTCAAGCTCCCTCGATGTAAAATTACAGTACGTGGTGGTCCAGTTGTCTTGTAACCCCCATTTCATTCTCTAAAACGTAATACTTTCTAGAGTAAGGTTTATTTAAAAGCATAAATGAATATGCAAATGGAAAATACATCTTAGGGGTTAATCAATTGAAGGTCACAAGAAATATGGATCACGCTGTTCAGTAATGTACGGCTGTTGCCTCTATATCAGCATAAGCCATACAAAATAACAAGTGACGGGTTCACGTGGAAACGTGGGGATTTTTCTGTTGAACGGGTAACGTCGCCACGCATCACATGATTATTTTAAGGAAATAAAGATCCCGTGACATTATTCGCAAGAGTTCGGCCACTGTGTGTCGGCGTCATGGTCTAAAATGAACATTAAAAAATCACTGCAAATGAATGACTCCATTGGGGTTACACAACACAGCAACAATCATCACCCGCGGCTGTGAAAACTTGGCAGGAACCCCTCCAGAATAGGAGACGTGAGACCCAGTGGGACTTTCCTGGGTAAAACAAGCGAAATAACAACAAAAGAGTAGAGGAATTATACAAATAAAACTGCCCCAGTAATAATGATTTAAACCCACCCCGACCTCGTGTCAACATTACAGCAACCGATCGTTCGCCACTAGGTGGCGGGGACGTCACCTTCAAAGCCCGCTTGTGTGCCCGGCTAGGTGCACCTTGCGCGTGGTGCCCCCACGTGCGGCGACGCGGCACAGCGCGCCCCCCCCCCCCCCCACGTGCGCCCCCCCCCCCCACGTGCGCCCCCCCCCACGTGCGCCCCCCCCCCACGTGCGCCCCCCCCCCCCCCACGTGCGCCACCCCCCCCCCCCCACGTGCGCCACCCCCCCCACGTGCGCCCCCTTCCACGTACGGCGGCGCGGCTCCCCTCCCACGTGCGGCGTTAAAGCCCAGCGACGTGCTTACGTCATCGCGCCGTCCGCTTCGCCGGTGACAGCGGCGTGACGACCGTTGACGTCATCGCCGCCACCACCACCACCGCCAAGCATGGCGGCCGTGAGTCGGGCCGAGTACCTCAAGCGCTACCTGAGCGGCGCCCCGGAGCAGCCGAGCAAAGGGAAGCCCAGGGCCAAGCTCAAGCGCAAGCGCGGCGTCGAGAACCGCGAGGGGTGCGTGGGCGGCGGCACGGGGGGGGGCCACACGGGACAAAGAGCAGTGGGCGCAAGGGCGAGCACGGCCTACGCGGGGCTTGATGGAAGTACCGGGTGGTAGTGATGGTGCCAGGGGTCAGTCGACCCCATGGCACCTGGGTCTGCCCTGTGACCTCCTGCCAGCGGGAGTTCGACGCTTAACGTGGCCTCAACGTGCACATGGCTTGGCACAGGCGCCGTGGTGACGTCACCGCAACTTAGTGACGAATGGCGGGTGTTGTTGTTGGTAGTGATGGTGGTGTTGGTGATGGGGAGCGGTGGGTGTAGCGGTTTAGCGCGCCGCGCTACGAACCCGGCTATGACCAGAGTTCGATTGCCGCTCACGGCCAACACCGGTGATGATTATCTGATCCGATCCTGGACCTCCCCCTAGGTCGACTCGGCCTCAAATGAGCACCTGGTCGTGGTGCATAAAGCCATCGCCACAGAGGAGACAGGCATTCATAGGTGCTCACTAACAACACTTGCCCCAACAGCCTGTTAAGGCTATACGGGGGATATTTGTCATTAGTGATGATGGTGCTGATGATTGTGATGGTCATGATGCATGCGCAGTATGTTGCACTTCTTTCGCACCGTACGCAGCCTAATGGGAGGTGATGGAAGCAACTTCTACTTGCCGTGGCGTGGTGACAGCACATCTGCTCGTGTGTGTGTGCAGGGTTCGTATCATTGACGACGATGTGGATTGGAGGATACCTGTGGTTGCCGATGATGACGCCAACAAGGCGGCGGAGGAAGAGGAGGTCCCCTTGGTAACGCTCGAGCGCACGTCACGTCATCTACCGGACTGCGATCACCCAAACGTGCACGCAAAATCCTTAGCGCACCCACTCTGTTGCTGCTTATGACGAGTAGCATATAAGACGGTTTGTGAATTTTCGATTTAAAGCTTTCGTGACTGCAATGATTCATCTTCTTTGGTTCTTTCGGTAAAGTCACGTAGAATGATAATAAAATAATAAATTGATAAAATAAAATAACACAATAATATTCTCACGACGTTTCGGCCACAACACAAGCGGCCTTCATCAGGTGAAGGGGGCGAGACTGTCTGGTAGGACAGCGCTGGAGTGAAAGAGCCACGTTCAGATACGGCCTTTAAGCTGTGTGAGAGGAACAAAGCGCCTTGACAAAGGAATTAGCATATAATTTAGCATTGAAATGGCTGAATGATTAGCTTGTGACTGGTCACAGAAATAGCTATGTTAAAAGTTAAAGCATACACACTCGCAGAGGCACCCATTGTTAAAGGGATTAGCATAGAATTTAGCATTGAAATAGCTAAGTTAAGGCATACACATCTTGACAATGGAATTAGCATAGAATTTAGCATTGCGATAGCTGACTGATTAGCTTGTACCTGCTGCAGGTACAAGCTCTATTTCTGCAGCAGGTACAAGCTAATCAGTCAGCTATCTCAATGCTAAATTCTATGCTAATTCCATTGTCAAGATGTGTATGCCTTAACTTAGCTATTTCAATGCTAAATTCTATGCTAATCCCTTTAACAATGGGTGCCTCTGCGGGTGTGTATGCTTTAACTTTTAACATAGCTATTTCTGTGACCAGTCACAAGCTAATCATTCAGCCATTTCAATGCTAAATTATATGCTAATTCCTTTGTCAAGGCGCTTTGTTCCTCTCACACAGCTTAAAGGCCGTATCTGAACGTGGCTCTTTCACTCCAGCGCTGTCCTACCAGACAGTCTCGCCCCCTTCACCTGATGAAGGCCGCTTGTGTTGTGGCCGAAACGTCGTGAGAATATTATTGTGTTATTTAATTTTATCAATTTATTATTTTATTATCATTCTACGTGACTTTACCGAAAGAACCAAAGAAGACGGTTTGTGAAGTCAGTCCCCCTAAATGTTACACAGGATTTCCTCACTTGAGTCTAAAGATACCTTTTTTTTAGAAGGGCCACTGCTTCGGGATGTTTGGTCAATTCAATTAACGAGTGCGCGTGCCATTCGAGAGGAAACCATTGTCCTTAGAGATAACCCTTACACGCGAGGGAATTCGTCTCAAAGTTCCTCAGATGAAATAATTGTTTGTACGTTGAGCTTTTTTCGCGCCGTACATAACCAACCGTGCTAATCGGAGGTGCATTGCTGGTATGACAATGCTCCTGGCCACGTGGTGGCGTTCCCAGACACTCACTGGCAGTGATGTTGTGTGTGGTTGTGGTGGTGGTGGTGGTGGGGAGCGGTCGTGACGATGATCTGAACTGGTCCTGGATCTCCCTTAATCCGACTCGGCATCAAATTAGTACCTTGCGCAGTGCGTAAACATTGCCACTGGGGAGACAAAGGCGGTTGTGGTGCTGTCCATCCACCCCTTGGTGTATCGTGCCAGCCTTCATAGTTGCTTGTGAACAGCACTTGCCCCAGAAATCTATTTAGGTTATAGGGGCATCTTTGTCTTTGGTGTTTATGGTTGTTTAGGTTGCGGAGTTCGTCGATGAGCGACCTCTGCACCTGCAAAGGATGGAGGAGTTTCGAACAAACAGCAAGTGGAAGTTGCTTGGCCAAGGTGAGCTCACCTGCTGTGGGAAATATAAAGGGTCACGCAACCATCAACCGCATCGGAACATCAACAGGCCGATGTGTACATCTCCTTCATGAATGTCAAATGAAAGAAAAGCCACAGGAGTGCGGTTAAGGCCAAGCAACCGAAACTATAGACCATAGAGTAAACCACTGTATCCTTCAATGAGGGAAGAATAGCAAAAGTACACGAATCCCTCTCATGACTAACAGACCTACACATTGGCGTCTAGCTCTTGAACATATTGCCATACGCAAGAATACAAAGGGTGTAGTAGTGTTGGTTAATTAAATTAGCGTAACCAATTTTTGATGACTGACGATACTGATAAGCGATGGAAACAAGTGTTGATGCTGGTTATGATTATTGTCGATGGTGATGTTTGTGGTTGTGCAGATGATTCTGATGAAAACACGACGGATGAGAACACGAGGTAATGATGTGAATGCAGGATTCATCTTGTGCAGCAGTGCAAACAAATGGCCGTATCCTAGAACCGCTAAGACTGGATCTGTACCTTGGCCTATAATAAACTTAGTACTGATATATAACCTTTAAGACTCGGTTAATTTATTGGTCTCTGCCAAATGCCGTGAACAATGACAAATATTTGATAAGTTTGATGTTACACTTTGTTAAGTTGAACCGCCGCCCCCCACAGACACAGAGTAAACCAGACTTTTTTCTGTATAGCGGAATGGTATGCAGTTGAGTTGTTTAACGTAGACCATTAAAAGATGTGAGACAAAGGCTGAGGTTTTACTTTTCTGTTGGCCAACAATGTCAGTCATGGCAACACGTGTCTGATGATTGTACTTGCTCTTTTCTGTCAAACTATGGATCGTAGATTTTCTTGCTCACCAGCAGTAAAAGGAGTTTTGCCTAACAGCATAGGGATTGGTCTGCTACCGTGTGATAGCACATCTGCCACTCATTGCAGAGGTTTGCAGTTCGAGCCCAGCGTCCAGCCTGGTTAATACTGCTGTTGTATTAAGCAAAAAAAACTAACTCCACGCCGTCTGTTTCACAGTGGATATTAAAGATCCCTTGATGCTGTTTGAGAAATAGTAGGGCATGTGGGCCAAAGTCTCAATCCAATTTTTGCAAATTTGAAAATTATTTGGAATTTATCTCATTGGATAAAGTCGGATATCAGAATCACCCCATATTACGAAACTACTGCAAACTGTAATCTTCTGTGAAACAACAGCTTTGTAATGAAAATAGCGCAAATACCAAATGTACCAATTTAATTTAATTTGCATTATAATGCGACGTACAAATTTATTTTATCTCATATCACGCTCATATTCTTAACAGGTTAAAGGTGTGTGTGTACAATACAGGTAAATGTCATTAATTCGCTCCTCTCATTTCCATTTCTCTTACCACACATTCCCCAAATTCCTCTCTGTCCACTTCTTAACTACTTCCTGTTCTCTACTGTGCCTCTGTCTCCCCTTGCCTCTCTCTAGACAGAGGCATGACACCGACTCCGACTCCGATTCCGGACGTGCTTTCAAGGGCGCCGTGATCCAGAAAAGCCCCCAGAATTCCAACCGCCATGACTCCAACTCTGACTCGGAGCATGAGCCGAAAACTAAAAACAAGCTACAGCATTCCAAGTATAATTCTGGCTCTGATGCATCGCCTCCATGGAAAGGGAGGGAACGGGAGCGGTCGGAAGGGGCTCGAGAGATTTCTGAAAAATCTGGACATGCTAAAGTTTTTGAGAAAACCGGGAAAAATTTGCGAAAGCACGCCAGCACTCGGCATGATTGCAACTCCGACGTGGATTCCGATTCATCCCTTCCCCAGGAGAGAAAAAAGGAGACGCCTGCAGACCCAAGGAACGCGGGGAGAACCCGCACAAAAGATGAGGGGAATGATGGGGAGAACTTCCCAGAAGCACCTGAGGAGGTCCGCCAGACTCGGACTCTGATCTTTCACCTGTAAAGAGGCACAGAGCAAAAGAATCAGGAAAATCCCAAAAGAGGACAGGCAAGGTGGGGGAAGATGCAGGAAAGGGTTTGAATCGTGCGGGAAGTCAGCAAGACTCGGACTTGGATATGTCACCTGTGAACAGACGCAGAGCAGAAGAGTCGGTAAAATCCCTAAGGAGGACAGGGAAAGTGGGGGAACATCGAGGGAAGGGTTGGAATCCTGCGGAAAGCCAGCAAGACTCGGACTTGGATATGTCACCTGTAAACAGACGCAGAGCCGAAGAGTCGATAAAATCCATGAGGAGGAAAGGGAAAGTGGGGGAAGATGCAGGAAAGGGTTCGAATCGTGCTGAAAGCCAGCAAGACTCAGACTCGGATATGTCTCTTCCGGACAGGAATGCCAACGGCAACCTCTCTCCTCCACGCAGGATGCTCAAGGTGTGAAAACAATCCGCTGAGAATTGTGGGCTCTGGGAGGTTTTCATTATTACTGTGTATTCGTATGTGTGTTTGCGTGTGTTTTGCTTCACGGCTAACACTAGGGACGATTATTTGAACCTGTCCTGGGCATCCCCTAAGTCGACTAGGCCTCAATTGAGTACCTTGTGCAATGTGTAAACATTGCCACTCGAGAGACAAGTGGCCGGGCGTGGTCCCCGGCCATCCACCACCCGCCCTTGTGTGCCGGTGTCGGCTTTTATAGGTGCTCTCCAAACAACACTTGCCCAACAGTCTGTTAAAGGCAACACGGGTGATGTTTGTCTTGTGTCCCAGGGTGGCCTGGTTCCCGTGGCGATAGTGAGGAAAGAGCGAGAGCGTGAGCGCAAGGAGGCGGCGGAGACGAATGCCTGGAGCTCCAGCGTAAGAGCTCACCTGGTTCCCCTTCACTTACCTGTATTCCACCTCTGGTGATTGTCCTCGTTGTACGTTTGTTGGTGATTATATCTCTGCCTTGTTACGTATTTTGTCATGATTGTGTCTGTTTTGTTGTGTGTGTTCCTTCAGGGTGTCTGGTTTTACTTTTGACATGCTGTATGTGTGCGTTTTTTGTTTAGTGTGTGCGTGTTTTGCTTTGTGTGTGTTTTCTGTTTGTGAGTGTGTGTGTTTTGGTTTTGTCTTATGTTTCTGTTTGTGCATACATGTCTCTGTGTGAAAGCATCGAATGAGGAGAGGAGCTCTGTGTCTCCTTGTGTCCATGTGTGACCCCCATGTCTCCATGCAAACCTGTTTTGGCGTGACCAGCATTGCGCTCTTGTGTGTGCCCATGTTCCCCCGTTTCTCCGCGTAGAGGCATCGCGGGAGGCCAGCACCGTGTTCCGTGATCGGCAGGGACGTGTGCGAGACCTGCAGCAGGAAAAGCTGGTGAAAGAGCAGGAGGCAGCAGAGGAACAGAAGAGACAGGAGAAATACCGAACCTGGGGACACGGGTGCGTACATGTTTGAATGCATGCATGCACGCTTGTGTGCAGGGCGGAGTGGTAGTGTCCAGTGCTTAGCACATCAGTAGCCGACGTTTGATTTCTGGCCACGGCTAACGTCAGTGGCGAGTGGTATCAAAACCGATTTTAAGCCTCTCCACGGTCAACTCGGTCTTATATGAGTACCTGGTGTGTAAACATGAGCACTGGGGAGATAGACGATGACCGGGCTTGGTGCTGTCGACCCGCCCCCACGTGTGCCATGCCTGCTTTCATAGATGCTCGCTATCGACACTTGCCCCAACAGTCTCTTCAGGCTATATAGGGGATGTTTTTGCTTGTGGTGAGATAGAGGGTACCGCGGTGGCGAGATGTTAATTATCTCGCTTGGTATACAAGAGGTCGTGGGTTCGACTCCAACCCTGACGCCTGTATATTTGGGGTTTGCATGTTCTCCCCGTGGTCATGTTAATTTACCTCCGGTTTCTCCCCTCCACATTTAGAATTAACAACACGCGTTTAGAGTATTTATCTGCTATTAATTTCCACATGATAATAAGCCACATTTTGTTGAGCTCTCATTTGTGGCGAGGTCACTTCTGAAAAAGAGCTACATAGCTCAGTGGGCCTTACCTGGTAAAATAAAAATTGTTTCGTTTTAGTTCAGGAAGATTTAAAGTGTGTTTGCAAAAATGGAAGGAACCGGAAAGAGAGGAAGCTCTAACAGATAATGGCTTGACGGACATAAGTGATTGGTGCCAGAAAAACGTGCACTACTTGAGACAGAGGAAAGTGGAAGCAAATGATGAAATGCGCAGTGGACACCTACGGGCTATCTGCCCACATGGATCGTGTTGATGATGATGATGATGACACACGCGTGATTGTAACCGCGCAGGCTGGCGCAGGTGGAAGCCGAGCAGCGCAGCCGTGACGACGACGCGCACGCGGCGAGCCGCCCCCTGGCCCGTTACCGTGATGATGCCGAACTGGACGCCATGCTGAGGGCGAAAATGAGGGACGGGGACCCCATGGCCAAGCTGTTGTCTCGCCCGGACAAGTCGGACAAGCCAGAACAAGCGGGTCCGATTCGCGCAGACAAACGTATACACAGGGCCAGACAGCTTTGACCGCGGACAAAATGAGATGTATGGGTTCGACTTCGCCGATGTGTCCTCACCGTCTGAGCAATCCGGACGGAGACATGAGGAATGCGTGGCCTAGATCAATTAAGACCAATGGGTAAGCCACGAAAAAACATTGTAAAATATGGGTACAGTAGCTCAAGTACACACATGGGTACGGACTGTGCAAAACATACGTTGAAACTCGGGCATGGCTCTCCTGTACAGAACTAGATATACTTCTTTTAGCGCTTGAGTTCAAAGGCCTATATCCGAGTCCCTCAACCGGCCATCACCGCTTCATCCAGATCAATGAGTCCTGTCATCCAATAAATTCAGGGTACAACTTCGCCGAGACATCCAAACACCAGAGTAGAACTTGCTTGGACACGACTTACCCAGACAGAAGGACCGAGCACGAACTGCTGCGACTGAATGAATGTCTTGGTTGCACTCACCCAGGTGACTCGAGAGACAAGGTGCCACTTGTCCAGACAAATAAGTAGCGGTGTCACACTTTCACAACTATCTTGTTGCGGATGCTTTGTCTTAGCCAATGTTTTCAGGTGTTTAGGGTTTCTGTCCTAATGTGCCGTAATTCCTAAAGACGCTTTGTGCTTGATGTTACGTTGTTGTGTTGTGTTCTCAGCTAAGCCACGCTATTCTGGTCCAGCTCCCACCGCCAACCGCTACAAACATCTGGCCGGGGCACAGATGGGATGGCGTGGACAGGTGAGGGACCCACACGTCCTGTGTGTGTGTGTGTGGAAAGGTGGCGCAGTGGTTAGCGTGCTGTGCTACGAACGTAGCGACCTGAATACGATTCCCACTCACGGCTACACTAGTGATAATTATCTGAACTGGTCGTGGGCCTCCCGTAGGTCGACTTAGCCTCAAATGAATATTTGGTTCAGTGTGTTTAACATTGGCCAATAGTGAGACAAAGGCAGCCAGGCAATGGTGCTGGCCACCCCACCACGCCTCACAACACTTGCCCAAAAAGTCTATTAAGGCTATATGGGGGTCTTTGACTTTGCACATCACCTACTTACCTAGTTACCTGAATTTGGATTCCCGGCCACAATTAGTATCCGTGGTGAATATTTGAACTAGATCTCTGCCTGCACTAGGTGAACTCAACCTTAAATGAGTACCTTGAGCAGTGTGTAAACATGAGCACTGAGGAGACAAAGGTGGCTGGGTGCAGGACTGCCTACACACCACCCCCTCGTGTGCTTTGCCGGCCTTCATAGGTGCTCACTAACAGCACATGTCCCAGAGGCTGTCAAAAGCTGCAGGGGATATTTGTGCCCGTAATTTTAGTATGGGTGTATGCCTGTGCGCATGTCTGTGCATACTCACGTGCATGTTTGTGTCTACGAACACGTGTCTTGTGCGTCATCACCTTGATGTGCACTTCCCAAATCAACTCAAAATACAACCTGAACATTGCCCTGGGTGTGTGGTGTCCGTGTTTGTTTTAGTGGTGAGTGCACTTGCTATGAATCCGGGGACCTAAGTTCGATTTCCGCTCGCGGCCAATAACAGTGGTGAATATTTGAACTGGTCCTGTGCCTCCCCTAGATTGGCTCAACTTTAAATGAGTACCTGGTGCGGTGTGTTAACATCAGCACTCGGGAGAGACGGCAGCCGGGCGTGGTGTTGGCCGCCCACCCCCTCGTGTATACCTTGCTGGTCTTCATAGCTGTTACTTGCTATCAACACTTGCCCCAACAGTCTTACAAGGGCTATAAGGGGGTGTTTGCCTTTTTTTCTTTGCCTGTGTTTACACATGGGCCTATGCCCTTTAGCTGAGGAGGAGACTGACGGACCTTAGTGATGATAATTACGTCGGTAAGGGTGAGTTTAGATTTTTGCAGCTCTATTCGCAATAGCCAACTTGTACATTGTGACCTACTTTTGTGAATGGTTTGTAAAAAGTGTCTTACGTCAACGTTCCAACAAATGGTTCTGTGTATTTAACAAATGCCAGAGTAATGTGTTCCTTTGCTCAAACAATTACTGAGTGGCATGATCTTTGATTCAAGACTTTTCATAAGGCAAGTACTGTTGGTTAATAGCGATAATTACAGTTATGCTGAGTGCTCTGATCACCAAGCCACCTGTGTACATGTATAGCCTTTTGGCAATTCGCTGCTGAATGAGTGCCTCCCCACACTGCAAGTTACGGAAGTTGCCTAACCATACTTCACACTACACAGTGCGGGTTGATGATGGTGCGGAGCATAGAAGTGCGGTACAACAATGGATTTTGCTTGTCTGCCCTCTTGCTACAACCATGCAGCCCCTTAGTCTATTGCCTACAATACCTGTCATGCATGGTGGTCATCCATCCAAGCTTTATTCGGGCTCAATATTCTAAGAATCTGATGAGAACGAGACCACATTCCAGGCTATTTGGTCAAAGGCCACCTGGCTCGTACCTATTATTTTCAGAGAAGTTGCGGGTAAAGAATCACAGATTGGAGATAGAGCTTGTCCCTGGTTGGTTATGCTGGGTGATCATTCTGTTGTGTATACACTCCCCATGCTTAATGAGAATGATGAGCGTAGCGCGACACCCTCTGACAAGCTGGGCAAAGCACCGCTGTGGCTGTCATAATGCTCACTCCATGTCACTTCACTGGAATGATGCTCGTTATTGTATAAAGAGGCAAGAAGTCTTCCTCTGCAATGCGAAGCGCAGCACTCTTAGCCGTTGCTTATTTCTTACACTTTCCGTCAATGATTATGTAACGTGCCTGCTTGACATCACGTCGGCGTAAGTGAAGTCGTCCTACGTTTGTTACTATTTATAGCACAAGAATGTCAGATATTTCTTCATACCTGTAAAGTACGTAGCACACACGCACATCCTGTTCAGGGTGGAACAAATTTCATCATGGCTGTGACATGCTTTTTGCAACTCTTAAGATTGATTATCTTGTTAATTCATCGGAAAAGCCCGAGAGATAAATAGACAGAAATAATGTCATGTAACTTGCTGTACGGATTCGTTGCACGGTCATTTGTCAACTTAATATCATTTATTGTCAGCCTTACGGTCAATCCATGGCTGGATGAGGCCTCTCCACACCACGTTGGTCATGGGGGTTATGTGACCTTATTTCACCACACTGTCCACTGCGGGTTGGTGAAGTGGGGACAGCCAAATCCGGTTCAGATATCTCCCACCGTTATCGATGTTTGCCAAGGTCGGGTATCAAACTCGGGTTGCCGGATGTACAGCGCAGGGCGCAAACCACTCGGCTAGCCCCCCCCTCCCCGCACTGTACTTACAAGCGGTGAATGTCCTCGTGGTTGAGGTTGTCGTGAGGTCACCCCTTGCTGCAGAAGTTCACGGTTCGAATCCACGTAGATGCCCTTGCTATTTCTGTGGGTGTATTCACCAAAAAATACACACCATCTGCTTCCCAATGGACTTTAAAGATCCCCTGACATCATTCACAAGAGTAGGCTATTGTGTGCCAAAGTCATGGTCTATAGTTATAGCAATATATTACCAGCTAATTACTAAAGTGGGATTGCATACATTAATGTTATTATTCACTAGACTTTTGTTGATGTCAGGGAGCCGATTTGTTTACTGACACCCCATGTTGCGTATGTTGTGTTTTCCTCTATCCTTGATCGTGTTTGTGTTACGTCTCTGATGCAATTTTTTATGTTAATGTGGTGTGTGATGTTCAGAGATTTGAGATGCAATTAGCGTACATTATGCAATATTAATACAATTATAATAATCCTTGTCCCATACTGCATACATTTGCTGCATACATCCTGAAAAGGTGAGCCTCATTGAGGCTTTTCTGGGTAAACAAGCTTAACAATAATAGCATATTCAGTGTACATTGAATGCACACTCTTGCGTTACAGAGATTGAATGTAAAACAATCATGTGTGTTTGTGTGTATTCTCGTGGGGAGTGGTAGTGTAGCGCTTAGCACGCTGCGCTACAAACCCCGCGACCCAAGTTAATTTCCCCCTCGCGGCCAATACCAGTGACGATTATCTGAACAGGTCCTGGGCCTCCCCTGGGTAGATTCAGCCTGAAATGAGTACCTGGCGCTGTGTGTAAACATCGCCACTAGGGAGACAAAGGCGGCCGGGCGTGGCGCTGGCCACCCACCCTCTCGTGTGTCATGCCAGCCTACATTGGTGCTCCCTAACAGCACTTGCCCCAAGTCTGTTCAGACTGAAACGGGTGGGTTTTTGTCTTTGTCTCTCGTTTCCCAGGTCGAACGGCTTCGAGACGAAGAGATTTACTCAAATCTCCGAGAGGAAAGCACGCAACTTAGAGGCCCACAAGTGGAGCGTGCAGGACATGTGACATGCTTGGCGACACATGACGACACGTGAAGATGTGACTTTGTATGACGCTGCACGTGGCGTGTGATGGCGACTGTGATTTTCGATAAAAAAAACGAGGCGTATTTTTAGTGCACAGTCCCCCCACAGTACACCACGCCCTACCAATATGCCAGCACACAGCACCTGCCATATCCTACACCATGCATTGCACCACACCACGTGGCAGTACAGTACTGCAGGAGAACACCCTGTTATCCTACATGTTATGTGGGACCCAGATTGCGGAGCCTGTTACCAACGGGTAATTGTTTTCGGGGAACCCTTCAGCTCTGGTGGATAATATCAGCCGAGGCTAATAGAGTCGTGGATAATGGGCGTTATGTTTATCATTCCACTCTTTTTCATGCCACCTTGTACCCTGTATTGCCAATAACTACATGTCACACACCCTCACACTTATTTGTATTGTAATAATTGTAAGGATATAATTTGTTTTCATACAATTAAATAAATGTGGATTTGGGTTTATAAGATCTGTATCCTCTCACTTGTTGACATCACCAAACCCCACGGCCTCCCAGTGTACTGTACTGAACAAAGGCCAGGAAGATACAACACTTAGGACGATAGGGTCGCACAGTGGTAGCACTTGTGCCGCACAGCAAGAATTACCTTGGAGTTTGCATGTTCTCCCCCTGTTCTGCTTGGATTTCCTCCAATTTTCTCCCCATAGCCAAAGAAACACCATACAAGGTCATTGGTATTGGCCAAACATCCCAATGCTCAAAAGTTAACAGCAAAATGCAGATTTGGGATTACAGCAACGTCGTCCCCTACTGCAAAATCTTGGCATGACCCTCCTGAAAATGCGTGAGACCCGGTGGGGCTGCCCAAGGTAAAGTCTAGACCAGGGGTCGGCAACCTGCGGCTCTTTAAAGGACCATCACCGTCTCGTATTCCAAATACATTGCAGCTTTTGATAAGTTGGGTTTTTTTAACCTAATTCGTCAAAAAAATGTCTACCTTGTTATTTTTGTTTCCGACCGCTGGCACTCGGAGACGAGCGCCCCACGAGTGGAGCCCCTTCCGCCAGCAGTGACCTGACAAAGCGCCGCAGTGGCCGGGAGATGTTAACTACTTCGTCTGGTATACATGAGGTCGTGGGTTCGATCCCGACCCTGACGTCTGCTGTATATTTGGAGGTTGCATGTCTTTTCCCCGTGGTGGCGTGGATTTTTCTCCGGGTCCTCCAGTGTTTCCCCTCCACATTGTGAAACATGCGTTTAGAGCGGCGGTTCTTAATCTGGGGTGCGAGATGCCCTTTGTGAGAACCAAATGGGGGATGCAGACTGCAGTAAAGGTTAAGAAGCGCTGGTTTAAAGTGCTGTACTGTATTTGGCTGCTAAAATAATTCCACGCGATAAGCCACTTCTTTGAGCTATCATTTGTGATGGCCAGTTCGCGTCTGAAAAAAGAGCCACATAGCTCAGTGTTAGAATAACAAAAACAAATTTAGTTTTCGTTTAAAACAACTGCACGGGCTTCGCCTTTATCTTCGTGGTGGGGGGGGGGGGGTGGTTATTGCACGTGTACCCCCCCCCCCGTGCGTGGTGACGTCACGACGCTGACGTCACCACCCCCCCCCCTTCGTGAGCTCGCACGCGCGCGCGCGCTTCCGCCTTCGCGTCCCCAGCGCGCAGCTGCCGAGATTCCGTGGGCTCGGCACAAGGGAACAGGGAGAGGAGCGGGAAGACTCCGTAGTGACGGGGGGAGTGGGACAAGGCAACGGGGTAACGTGGTAACGGGTTGGGGGAGGAGTGAGAGACGGAGTAACGGGGGGTTGAAGAAGAAGAAGACGAAGACGCAGCCGAAGCCGCGCCGGGCAGAAGAAAGGCGAGAGCGAGCATGGGGAGCGTGCCGCCCGGAATCCGCCTGCTGAGGAGGTTCACGTCGGACCAGTGGTGAGTGATGGCTTCAACAGTATTATCGTCGCCATAATGAACTTCACATCATCATTGCCTTCACCGTCAACATCATTCCTATCAACATCACATTCATCACCGGAAACATTACCATAATCAACATGATCATTAACATAAGCAACATCGGCTTGTTCATCATTACCTTCGCCATCATCATCACCGTCATCATCATCATCACCTTCATAAACATTATCACCACCGTCATCATTAACTTCATCAATACTTTCATCATCGACATAATTACCCTCAACATCAGTACAGTACATTATCTTCATCACCATCACGCACCAACATCATCAACGTAACACCAACATAATCACCATCATCGTCACCACCACCACTATCATCATAACGGATATGTCAACGCCAACATTACCTCCTTTGACATCACCACCACCACTACAACATTAGCATCATGTCCATTACATCACGTCGTTATCAGCGTCTCTATGAGTGTGTTAGTATAGGGTATACTTTGACCCAACACCGCCTCGTTTTCACGCGCACTGCGCCCGGCCGCCTTTGTCTCCCTGGCGCTAATGTTTTCCAATTCCGCACCGGGCACTTAAACATTTAATGTTTGAGTCGTAGGGAGCACTCCAAAAAGAAGGGGCCGAGAACTACAGTCTCGGAAAATGCTGGGAGTAAGAACATCGGTCATGTGGTACTTTTTAACACGTAGGCTTTCGCGAAAAATATCATCCATAATAGAGGTTTTTTTGGGGTTATATCGCGTAAATATATAAATGTGTTTTTAAAACCCGCCACCGCCCGACACAGCCAACTAGTAAGGGTTGTCACGTAAACAGAACGTGGCCAATTCGTCACTAGCACAGCACACCGGTGTGTTGGAGAGCAAAGCCACAACATTTACAAAGATTGTAAAAGCCGCAACATTTACACAGATTGTAAAAGCCACAACATTTACAAAGATTATAAATGTTGTAACCTGGCTCTCCAACACAACTGGTTAGTGCTGTACTAGTGACGAATTGGCCACGTTCTGTTTACGTGACAACCCTTACTAGTTGGCTGTGTCGGGTGGTGGCGGGTTTTAAAGACACAGCATTTATATATTTACGCGATCTAACCCAAAGAACCTATATTATGAAATCCTATGTTATACATTAATTAATACCTCTTACAAGCATCCACTTGTAAAACAAATTCAAGGCTCGGGTCATAAAATGTGAAAGAAATATGTTCTTTGTCATGCACCATATATTCTTGTTTTTTTCGGTAAAGTCACGTACAAGGGAAACAATAAAATAATAAAAATATAAAACAATACAATTCCCACGACGTTTCGAATGCAACACAAGCAATCATCATCAGGTGTGAAAACCACAGCAAGAATTTTTTTTAAAAAAGTGGCGGTTTTTGGGGTTTTCACACCTGATGATGATTGCTTGTGTTGTAGTCGAAACGTCGCGAGAATTGTATTTTATATATTTTTTAAAATTATTTTATTGTTTCACTTCTACATGACTTTACCGAAAGAACCAAGAATATGGTTCCCTGCAGTCACGAAAGCTTTCAATCAAAATGCACCACATAGTTTATTGAAATAAAAAAAAATTGTATGTCATATTTGGATTTTGGAGCCATAAAGCATTGTACATATAACGACCAGTCTCTTTTTTTAGTAATTTGTAGATGTGTGTAATTGCTAACGCTTAGTTGGAACTCCACTCCCAGATACCCATCAGGTATCGTGTTCCTGCGTTGGTGAACTTATACATAAAACAACAGATTTTTTTTTAAATCGCACGTACTATTACTGTTGCTGAAAAGTAAATACGATCTTGACATTTTGGCTGAGTGACCTTTAGGAGTTATTGAGTATTAAGAAGTGTACACGTGTACACATACGCACAATACCAGTTGTCATTGGTCACTTAGTAGCAGTGGCGTCACTGAGCTTCTCCCAGGCTAGGTATACTCTGGAGTCACCTTACGTGGGAAAGGCTCAAGTTCATGTTTAATTGTTAAACCAGAGTCGAAAGACCAGCTCGGTCTCATTTACAACAGTGACCTGGGTCACGATGATGACGAACGCAAAACAAAGTAAAGAACCAAAGAGTATGGATCCTTGCAGTCATGAAAACTTCAAATCTAGAACGTAAAACAATGCTACAAATAGAATTTGCTTTGGAAAAATGTAGCAACAGGTCGCCTCAGGCGGATTCTTTTTTGAAGGATCATAGCATGGTACAATACATTTTCCTGCAGCTGTGATTGATGGCAGGAGCTCGTGGGACAGACCCAGATGTGATGGATAACAGTGCCATGGTGATTGGCAAATGCAATCACCGGCACCTTTCACTGTTCTGAGTTGACACAAAGACAAAGATCCCCCTTGTAGACAGACTTCTTGGGCAAAGTGCTTTCAGTGAGCACCGATGAATGGCGACACTGCACGCGACGGGGTGGGTGGAGACCAACAACCGTAGCCGGCCGTCCTGCAGCAGGTACTAATTTAAAACTATTTTATACAACTATTTATTTTAACCAGGTAAAGCCCACTGAGCTGTATAGCTCCTTTTCAAAAGCTTAGTTCGGTGATAGCTCACCGAAGTGGCGTATATAATGTGGAAATTTATAGCAGCCAAATACTCTACGCACACGTTGATTCTAAATGTGGAAGGGAAAACCGAAGGACCAGGAGAAAAATCCACGCAACCACGGGGAGAGAGACACGCAAATTCAATATATGCAGGCGTCAGGGTTGGAATCGAACTCACAATCTCCTATATACCAGGTGAGGTAGTTAACATCTCACCACCGCGGCACCCCATTCAAGGCTGAGTCAACCTTTGGGGTGGCCCAGGACTGGATCAGATGATCGCCACTGATGTTTAACTGTGAGCAGGAAACTAACTCTGGTGGCTAGGGCATATAGCGTTGTACACTAACCACGACACCACCACTTCCCCCTTTGAATTATCACACAGTAACATGCAGACACACCAGGTATGCAGTGTACCCTCAGCATTACTTCCTCTTCAGAAGCCATGAATGACTGCCGTAATTTGCACATGATAGGAATCTTTACGCAATACAGTTGTTGCCATGCCAGGTTTGATAGTGAGGCCAATGAGTGGCATGTCAACATTCATAAAGCATTGCCAAGGTGTCTTAAGTTGTGGCACTTGTTTACGCAGGCACGCACATATTTAAGTTGAGCAATGGTTAATGAGCACGTAACCTCACACACTGTTATGTGCTAGTTTAAATACCGGTTGGAGGTCAACTCAATGTATCATCCGTCCAGCATTGTATAATTATTCTGCTTCTTTAACCAGAAGCTGAGCCTATAGACTTTCTCAGGAGGGTCCTGACATGTTTTTCGCAGTAGCCTGGGCGATGTCGCTTGTGTAATCCCAATTGAGTACTTTGCAGGAAAAACAAAATCAGCATTGGCCAATACCGGTTAGGGGGGTATTCCTTTGGAGAGACTGGCCCTGGCTCGGAAATGGCATCACCAGGTCAGCAGAGATTGGCATTGTCACGCGCTTCATCTGGCAGGGAGACATTTTGGCTTCTTGAAGTGAAATGTTGTTTTTAGTCGTGGATTTTTTTTGTCATGGAGGTTATTTATGCAATGGCAATTTTTGAGTATTGTTTGGCATTTATCGGGAAGAAAAAAACTGCTTTTCAAGCAAAATTTACTTCAGACTCTTTCGCAAGAGAGATCTTGTGTAGATATGAGAACGGGGAAAAGTTTACAAAATAATTATATAACTAGGTGGAATGCATTCAGATTCATTATCACTTTCACATTGGAGATCTGGGAGGGTATACTTCCAATCGGATAGTTAACTTCTACGATTAAGACATAACATTAAATGTAAAGACTAATAATGGTGTTTCTTTAGAGTCAGTTTCATTAATTAATGAGGACAACACTGTTAACATATTAATTGGATATTAATCCATATGTAAATAGTATTTTCGATATACAAAGTGAGAAGACCCCATGACGAAAAACATTTTTATCTTAAAATGTGATTGAAGCATCAGGTTAGTTCCTGGAGCTTGCAATAGCTGTGATTGGTTAACCAACCAACAAAATGGTTAACTCATCAATATTTCACTCAACCAACAATTCACTTAACCAACCGTTTACTCAAACATCCATTCACACGATTATTCAGCCAATCAATTATCTCAACCAACCACAGTCTTCGTGATGTTCATGCACATTTACCCGCATCGTATTTACCCATCTGAAAAGAAATATTTTTTTCAAAATGGCCTTAAACGTTGCAGGCTGGCGAGTCTTACTTTCCAGTGCGTGTTGTTGCCCCGAGAATAAAATAAATTGTTGCTGCGGTCTCAGAATCTGCGGGAACTGTGCGCAAAACATGTGACCAGTGTCACACGCTGGTGGGTTGAACGGCACAAAAACATGTTTAGGGAAACAGAATCTGCGTTCCGTGCAAAGACGCCTCTTGCCGGACGGGATGGGTACACGGCGATTGTTCCCAGCGCGGCGAGTTTTTGTAGCTCTCTTCCCCCGCGATCGCTGCTCGTGTGCGAGCCCAGTGCCTTCAAGGCAAGGGTTGGTGGATCACGCAGACTTGTTTCCACTTCGAAAGAGCCGCCGAGCATGCAAGGTGCCCAGGGCATGGGAGTCGGGCCGGGCGAGTTCATGAACCGAACTGTCACCGACATTTGCGTCTTGAGTCAAGCGTTTATTACACCAGGTTTATTAGAGCGCTGTTTTAATGCGTTGGGGTTTTCTACGGGCGCTGTGGTTTCACCCAACATGCAAAACATTTCTGAAAAACTAATTTGCCCAAACATGCCAATGCAGGATTGTTACGATGCTTTCCTGGATAAATGAAATAAATGACACATCACAGATTGTCGGGAGATTGATCTCTGACATAGACAACCAGACAACCGTTATTAACTAAAGTGCAGTGAGAGTATCAAACAAAGTGCCTATAATGTGTATTTTTCTCAACGCCCTA